TGACAGATTCTAGAATCCATATATAAATTCAAAGAACCCAGAATAGGGAGAACAATTGGAAAAGAGAACAGGGGTTGAGGCAATATTACCTGATTTCAAGAATATCATAAAGATGCAATAATCAAAACAATGTCATATTGGCATAAAGATAGACAAGCAGATCCCTAGAACAGAACAGAAATAGTTCCACATATAAAGAAAATAGAAAGCAATCTCTATGGCTTGGGATTAGGCAAAGATGTCCTAAATATAACACTAAAAATATGATCCACAAAAGAACAAACTATTGAATTGCATTGGGTTCAGCAAATGACCCTAGCCACCCTTGTCCTTCCTAGCCCTGAAAGACAGATCAAGTTTAACTTCAGATTTTTTTCAACATTCCTGTTCAAGAAGCTAAATTTGATTTACATTGCCGAGCAATCCTTTATTACGATTATGATTATTATTGCTTTTAAATACAGCAGTAATGACTAATCTTTTCTTAGAGTTCAACTTACATATGGATTTTGTGTATATCATCTTAATTTAACAGCAACCTTCTGACTACCATAGAATATTGTTATAATGCCCATTTTATTTATAAGTAAACTGGGATTCAGGAGGCAAGAATCATGTAAAGGTACAAGATCCCACATGATGAATGTAACTGTATTGTATAACTAAAATGTACCAATAAATTTAATAATGATTTTAAAAAGAGAGCGATTCATTTATTTGTGAAGATTACACTGTGAGCAAGTGGTGGGGCCCTGGCTTCAACTCAAGTTCCTGGACCTCAAAGCCTGGTTGTTTTTCTGCTGTCTCACTTTGCCCCTGTACAGACTGGTGAATTACTTTCTGATTTTAAAAATAGGAGTTTCATTAAGCCATTTTGTGCTATATAAAGTCAATTAAAGTATTAACTCTTTTGTTACTTAATAAATCTTTATCTTTCAAATCTATAATAGCTACTATCCACATTTGCAAGTGTGCCCAAAGGGAAAAGTTACATGACCAACTACCCTTTTCATCTTAAATAGAAATAAATTCTACTTTAGTCTACAATGACACTTTGCCATTCTATTCTCAGGCTGTTGTAAATTAATGTAATTGCAAAACAACTACCAAATGCCCATGGTGTAATCTCTTCACCCAGTAGGATCTGCCCTGATATTCCTCTGATGTCTAAATAGATAACACTTCAGGAAGCGTCTTTTGGAATTCCGTGTCTTGGCATTTGCCTCAGTTCTATAACAGCCACCTACCCCTGGGGTAAAGTCATGGATCTCTGGCAATCTGACCATCCCTTTTATTTCTGTTTCACATTTGTTTATACATTTACAACTGTCCTCTGAGAATGGCACAAAGTAGAAAGGATGATACCCTTATGTTATACTCTCACGTGGGCCATCTTATCAGTCTCAGTCAGATTATTCTTCAGTTGTGTTCCTCGACATAGGTAAGCCATTTGAAAGCCTAAGTACAGTGTCATCAACAGAATCAAATTTATACCAGTACATTTACTGCAAAAGATAATATTTGAGAAAGGTAAATGAATACAAGTAATCTTTTTACACTGTAGCCAAGCATTTAACATTCAACATAGAAGGACTATTTTATAAATACATCCAGAGAAATGGAAAACTGTTTTTCTATTACTAATCAGGCTAGTGCTTTTCCTTGGAAAATAAATTTGGAATCATATTCACACAGCATCCCAAGAAATGTTAATGGAGCAAAAGGTTTTAGAGACTAACTGGAAGTGAAATGGTTTATCCAGTTTCATATACAGTTTTTAATCATCTCATTGTAACAAGTTTTTGCCCTTCTTTCTTTGCATTATCTCTGCCCTTGTTTAGCTCTGTCCTTTTCCTATTGCTCAGAGTATATTTAGCCTTGGAAACAGTTCTGGCATGAACAAAGAGTTGTGTTTTCAACTGTCTCTTAGTAAATGTTACACAATACAAAGAGCGTACGTGTCAGCTACCTCTGCCACTTTGTCAGTTGTTTGGCTTGGAAGGAATTTATTTACCCAGGCTATAGCTCAGTGAGTTCTTATATGAAATTAGGTCATATTCAGTGAGTCCCTGTGAGAACCACAGGAGTTACCATAAAATATGTAAAATGGTAAGCATATCAAAGGCATCCACTGAACTCATTTTTATCTTTTCCCTTAATGATTTTAAGAATATGACTGATTTCTGCCTTCCACAGTTATTGATGCATTTGTCTTCACTAGGATCACGATAAATAAGCACTTACTTGACAATCAGAAACTTAACAGAAAGAATCCAGCCTCCAATGCTTGTGCTTTGCTTGATTATGCTCTTCTGTTTCTGGAATTTAAAATGGCATCTGGTCATACTTAAGCATCCGGCATTTACAGCATGAAGTGTGTCCAGTAGGTAAAGTCACTCACTTTATGCAAAGAATAATTAATATACAAATATCAGATCTTTGTAGGAGATCAAAAGTTTTCCATACTTATGGTAGATACAGAGACAAAGATTACCCAGAATCTCATATAGTTCTTCTGGCTCTGAAATGCTGTAAAAAGCGAGCAGCACTGTCAAAGAAATGCAGCCTTATTGTCTCCCTGCCTTCTCCTGACTGCACTTCAGCATAGCAGGGCTTATGACATCCTCTCAGACCAGCAGAAGATAGGCAAACCCAGAGAATCCATAAGTGCTGATAATGTTGAGGTGATTGTAGGATATGATATAGTGTAGTGACAAAGATCAGTGAGACACCAGTCCTTCCTAAGTGATAAAGACTAAGCAAACCCCTCTGTATTTAACTAGGTGTCTCTTCCATTTTCCTTTTGTAAATGGGGATAATAATGACACCTGTGGAAAGCACCAGATACATTTGCTCAATCAATATTAGATATTTTTAGTTGTATAAAATAACTGTTTTTGTTAGTTATATAAAATAAAGTTTTCCCTGTTTACCTTTAACTCTAATCACAGTGCTATAAAATGAAAACATGGAAGCTCTTTGCATCAGTTTGTTCCATCCATCCTACCTTTTCTTATATTTACTAATCTTTATCTGACATCTTTCTGAAGCCCTTCCCCTTCCTGTACACCTTTATCCCATGAACTCTTCCCACGTGAGGTAGCTGTTTTACATATGGGTTAAGAACGTGTGTAAATTTTAATTCTGGTGCCTCATTTTATCACTTTTGGTGCCTTAGCTAACTTTAGCTAGTAGATTCCTACCATAGGACACAATAAGAGCACCTGACTCGTGAGTCTGTTGTGATTATTGAGTTAAAATATGTGAAGCACCTGAACAGTAGCGGGCAAGTGATATGCCATCTATGTGTGCTAGATAGATGAAATGTTCACAACTAGAAGCAAAACTTTTTTCTTCTTTTTCTCTCAGAAAGCACCTGTTTATTTAAAGAGCCTGATGCACACTGTGAGGAATTCTTCCCATGATTTTCTTCTCATCTTTCTTCTAATAGTAAAAGAAACAGGGCAGATGTTTCCAACACACAACACACTGCCCCTAAAGTTGAAAGTACAATTGTCCTATGTTGCAGATATGAGTGAATCCCTCCCTGACTTGCTTTATTTGTTTGTTTTTTTATTTATTTTGGAGGGTTTGAGACAGGTTTTGCTGTATAACCCAGCCTGTCCTCCAACTTGCCGCAGTCCTCCTGCCTCAGCCTCCCAAGTGCTAGGATCACAGGCATGTGCCACTGCACCTGACCTCCCTCCCTGACTTCTCCATGTGCTTCTTCACCATTCCCGAGAGCCTATTTCATTGAAGCAGGATTCTGATGAGCTTCCCACAGTCGCCCAGTTTGGACCTGAGTGTGACTTTCTGCTTTAATTCACATGCTCTTCTTTGTGTTCCACACCGGACTCTTCTTCATGGGGGCAGAGAACCATTCTGGCTTCATTCTGCCTGCACATAGAGTTCATGCACAGAAGTACTCAGTGAACTACTGCGTAACTAAATGAGTGAGTGAACAAATGAACGCAATCACATTCAGTAGAATATATTCTAGCCCTCTGTTTGCAATAGAGTAAACTTTCAAGATAGTCTTGCAACCTTTTAAAATTTTAGATACCCTCATATATCTTACTTTAGATCTTCCTATCTTCCCAGTTTTATTATTCCTCTTATAGTTTATTGCCCCAATACAGTTTTTTGCTCTTTCTGCGCCTCTCCTCTTACCATCCTTTCTTTTTTGTTTTTTTTTTTTGTTTGTTTGGTTGTTTGTTTTCTTGAGTCAGGGTCTCACTACATAGTTGAGACTGACCTAGAACTCGCTATGTAGCCCAGTCTGGTCTCGAACTCACAGTGATCTTCCTGCCTCAGCCTCCCAAGTGCTGGGATTACAGGTGTCTGCCACCATGCCTGGCTACCATCCTTTCTTTCTGTAATGTCTTTCCCTCTTTTGTTGACTACCTGAATTTTTAGCTCACAGTTCACATGAGATTTATCTCTGTACTTTAAGTGGAAGTCATTTCACATCCTTCTGACCGTCTATAGCAGCTGTTGTCTAAACTAACTGGCTGTCACTTAACACATACTGTTTTGTAGTTGTAGTTATCATTTTATGTGAAAAACACTTAACCACAGTGTAAATCCATTGAGAGCAATGGCCATGTCTTGTATTTTTCAGACCTAGGTTTATAACACATTCGGTAAAATACTCAATAATTATTAATGAAGTGACTTATAAACTACCTTAAACATACTTACAAGACAAAATAAAGTGCAACACAATGAAGCAGTAATTGTGAGTGAGGACAATTTCATGTACTGAAATACATCAGCTTAGAGTTTTATCTATATTAGTATCTTTTGTCTCTGTATTTTATTTGATTTGATGAATCTTTTTGTTTTTATCAGATTTAAGCTTTGGGGTTAGAGTAGTAAATTAAGGGCATTAACTTTACTCTGAGTCTAATTTCATGTACTAACAAATAAAAACTGTCCCTTTGCAAGGGACATCTAAACTCAAGCCATAACACCTGGTGAATAAGAAAAACATTACCAACCATTGCTCCAAGTCTCACAACAGCCAAGATTACAGCAGATCTTGCGCCAACGACCAAGGCTGTCATTGACTCTGGACACTTCCTCTGCCCCGGTGGCCAAGAGCATCTCGTGCTATGTAGTTTTCTTACTCTGTATCCATGTGTTAAAGTCTTTTACGTGTATTTTCATGCATTCATTGTGTGAATGCTACCACCGGAGTAATGTGTCAGCATTGCCTAGAGATTAGATCAGCAGCTTCCTTCATTTATCACCCTATGAGCAATTGCCCTTGATCACATATCCACAAGGTCCCATTTGTGTTGGGATCTTACATACTCTTTAAGACTGGTCTAGACTGCCTCAAGTCATCGGCTAGGCATAGAACCATCTCCTTCACCTATCCTCTAGTTCAGGTTGGCATCCTGCTTTTCTTGTGGTCTGCATCTCAGATTCACAGGACACCTATTTCTGTGAAACAACTTTTAAAGGCACCTATTTCTAATTTTTAAATTAAACTTCTTTTTCCCATTCCCTATTTATTTCCTTTCTTCCAATGATGAACTTAATTTGGTTAGTCTTTCAGAGGCATCCTACAGAACGGATATTTTGCAGAGGTGTCCTCTATCTCCATTTTCTGGTCATTCATTCATTCTTCTATCAATTTAAGTGATGCACCTGGTGCTTGCTAGGCACTCTTATATGGGTTGGGTGAGCAAGACAGAGACCCAGTTCTTATGAACTTTTCTTTGCAATGTATTAGGCCGACAAGTAAGTAACACACATCATACTAGGTGGTAGTAGAAGCTATGAGAGAAAATATAAGAGGAAGGGAGAATTATAGGAAAAAAATGAGGTGATAAGAGAAGGTTTTACATGATAGATGAAAAAACTGAGACAGGAGAGGGACAAATAATTGGCTGAAGTTCACATACTTAGTGGGTGGCTGAGATCTAAAGCCCAGATGTTTGGCTCAAGAGTCCCTGCTCTGCACACTGCAGCTATGTTGTATAACTGAGAGTATTGATAGGGGAAGGGTCCACACCCGCTATAGACAGCACTGCAGTCCCCATGAGAAATAACTCTGTGCATGAACCCAAGGATTGTACAATGTCAGTGTGTAGCCCCATCATCTTAAAACAAACCAATTAACAGAGAAGGTTTAACAAGTAAATGCAGAGATTGCCAGTGGAGTCAGCTCATCTCTTTTAATTCAGTCAGTAAACTTTCTAAGAATTTACATAAGTCTCTAAAATTATTATATCCAACTTAAATCTATTATAATCATAAGCATTACTACTTTGAGGAGACTCTTAAACCTATAAACTCAGCATCACTCTCCTTCAATGAAGCAACCCTCTCATTCACTGTTCTTTCAGATATGTAAATACTAGGTAATTAACCTTAACAAAGTCAGTCTTTGTCCATTTCTACAAAATTAATTTCTAAAGAAGTTTTAAAACTGGCTGTAGCACAGGGTCTACTAAAAATACTCCGGGCCCCAAGAAATACAGCACGTGTTTATGATATAAGAGACGTGGAAAACACTGGCAGCTCATGTGTCAGCAATGCACAGCATATCTGCAAACACACAGCAGGCCTAATCAAGCTGTCCTTTTACAACTCAGGATCATTAGTACTACTAGAGAAACATAGAAATTGGATTTCATGTAAATTGTTTGGAATCATGGGGGAGAATAGACTACCTCACCTTAAAACAACTAGTGTTCAGTGATTACGGATTCATCACCAAGGTTTCTTACATTTAGAAAAGTATTCTCTTTATAAAAACTAAGAAGCTAACTGGGAAAAGGCAGTAACTATACTATGGCAACAAGATAAAGGAAGTGATTTATTTCATTGTCTTTTTTTTTTTAAATCTTGTCTTTCACAGGATATCTATCAAGCTTTTCACTTAAAGAAGGATAAATCATAAAACTGGGATACTTTTGCACCAGAGATCAAATATGTTTTCTGAGGTTTAGTCACAATAATAAACAGATCCTTCTGATGAAGTTTAAATTAATTAACCTTAGAATTCCCAAGTGCCTGGAAGAAACAGTGGTTCAACAACATATATTCCATTAAAGGAAATCTAGGCCATCAAAAAATTCCACTTCTGATTCCTTGAAGGAAATGCTGAAAAGGGCCAAATACATTTTATTTCCTATATGCCATATTGGTTTTTAAATAATAACCATCTGAGACAAAATTATATTCCTTCTAGAAACTACTTTTTCTCTTCCAGGCCTCTGACTCTAATCCCCCATTCTTCAATATAAAACAGTCTTAAAACACTAGTGTATTGAATAAGACAATGCTAGCAGAAAATGAAATGAAGTATCAAGGACTAATGCATCTCATTCTTCTTATAGGAAGATTGTCTTTAGTTTTGGGAGCTATCATTTAATGTTTAAGGGATTATTTTCAATGGAGCAGAAGTCAATTAAGAAAGCATTTTCTCTCAAAAAGCTTTGTCTTTATCAAGTTACCTGCCTCTGAAGACAGGCAGTACATGTGTTGCACCTAGAAAAAGATTTTTATGAGGTGACAGGATAGGTAAATCAGAGACAAGTTGCTAAACAGTGTTACCTTGTATAATGAGTCATAAAGAGAACTTTTGTGAGCACATTTTTTAAAAGAGAAGGAATGGAAGCTAAAGAACATCCTGGGTAGAAAGAGGACTAGAAGCACAAGTGAAAGGAAATGTAGTTGGGACATATAAGTGCCCTGACTGTGTGGAGCAGGAAAGGAAGGAATATGTTATGCCTTGATTGTACGGAGTCTTCGGTGACAGGTTACAGAATTGGCTTTTTTTTTTTTTCTGTACATTGTCAAACAGCAGTCAGAAGACCTTGATTAATCACTTACATAGTGGGACAATGGGATAACCTTCTTGGAAGATTACGCCAATAAAGAACACAATGTGGATTAGAAAGGAGAGTGACTGGAAGCAGATGATCTGATTGGGAGATCACTTCATAAATTCAAATGTGAATAGACAGCAGGGGCTAGGGATATGGCAGTGAAAATTGATTCATATAAAAAGTCTTTTGCAGACATTGGGACTGGGCATTTCTATTTTGGCTGTGGTATGATCTTGATCTGAGTACCAGTAGCCAGGCATTCAGGTGATCATTTCAGGTACGAGTGACTTTCAAAAACACAGTCAAACCATGCCTTTCTATTTCAGACATAGCATTAGTGCTCAACTTCTGGAGAAATAAATTGACTGATTCCACTTCTCTAAATATGTCCACATTTTAATCCCTGTGTCCTAAGGTGTGACCTTATTTTGAAAAAAAATCTTTGCAGATGTGATTAAATTAATGGGCCTGAGATAAACTGGATTATCCATGTGAATTCTAAGTACAGTGATAAACATCCTTAAAAGAAGCACACAAAGGAGGAGGTGATAGGATAACAGAGGCTGAGATCTGAGTGATGTAGCCAAAAGCTGAAAAGGCCAACAATTTCAGGCCAAAAGAATCCCTGAGAGTTGGCAGGAGTGTGGTCCTATGAACACACTACTTAATATATATGATCTCATTAAATTCTCATAAAAACCAAGGAGATAAGTTTAAATTACTGTTTTACAAAAGATGAAATAGCCATGAAGGAAAACTAAAATCACATATTTAGCTATGGCCAAGGTTGGCCCTTCTAACTTTAAACTCAGTGCTCTTTCTATTAAGTGTCCCTGGTGCACCCAAAGGGGATGATAAGGAAAAGGTGTGGTTGAATATTCTTCAGAATCTAAACATGGGAAATAACTTAAATATGTGGAGTTTTTTAAAGGAATTTGTATGTTTTAATAGGGTGTTTTCCTTCTGATTGCTACTCTTAAAAGGCAAACAAGTAAGAAAGAACGGGATTAAACCTAGAATGTAAACATAAAGATTTAGAAAGCATTTTGGAAACGGGAATAAAATGTTCAAATGGGAAGGGAACAAGGGAGGAGGGAGGGAGAAAGCATGGAAGAGACAAGTTTAAAAAGTGAAAATGGAAGGAAAAAATGGGATCAAAGCTTTTGTACATAGGGAGGGGAGGGAGAAAGGGGGAAAAAAGAGGCAGGATGTACCATGTATATCCAGGTGTAAATCCCCTATGATGTGTGCTATTATGTATGCCTAAAATGTACCAAGAAATGTTTGCTATTAAAAAAAGAAACAGAAAAATAGAAAGCATGCATTCAATATTCTTTTCCTTTGCTTCCCTAACCCCCTTGTCCTCCATGGAAAAGTCAGAGAGAGGTTGAGATGGACAGAGGAATACACATGTCCTAAGAAAGTGGCCTCCTCCAACAGACCACTTGCATGTGTCTTCTGGCAGTGGCCATCTGAATGATCTCTAAGGCACAATTCTTGCCTATGTTCCTGTTTCCTGTAGACCACAATCAGTTTCAATCCCAAGGTTGTAGAAGCAAGCATTTGCTTGGATAGAACTGTTTTGGTGATACACACCTGTAATCCCACCACTCAAGAGGCTGAGGTAAGAGGATTGCCGTGAGTTTAGGGCAATCCTGGGCTACATAGAGTTCAAGTCCAGCCTGGAATGCCTGTATTACATAGACCATCTCAAAACACAAATAAAAGAAAACAAACAAAGCTCAGAGATCCCCTTGAAATACCATTCGTATAGCAGAGGCATTATTTGTCCTCAGATGTGTCTGTAGGTGGAGGGGCCTAATAATGCTGCACTTTGAGCCCAGAGTAGGCTAGCAAATGTTGGCAGTACTGTCGCATTTGGAGAGTGCTGAGGAACCTGGGCCTCTAACCCAATGCTTTTCCTCTGGATAGACAAATGCAGCCGTAGAGCAACTCTGCTGAAGCTGGGGCTCAAGATTCAAGGCTGAGCAAGAGACAGTAAGAAAAAGTAGGCCAGCTTCTCAGAGGAAGGTCGTTTAGCAATTGCTTGTAAGAGACTATTTATAGTTTGCTCGAGAACACAGTCCTTTTTACAAAGGTTTCTTCCCTGGAAACTTGCAGATTAGCTGCCTCAGTCTCTAACTCCTGGAGTTCTCTATAACATTTGCAAAGGCTTCTTATCCCGGGAACATAAACACTAAGTGTAGTTTATACTTCATTTTATACACACATACCCTGAAAGTGCTCAATAAGTATTAGGAG